GAAAGAATGATAAATGTTAATATTTAACCAGGTTTACAGCAGCTGTCATGATCGTAACAGTCGTTTACCAGCAACATGCGAGATGTTGGCAGTCTTGCTGCAGGTCACATAGTCATTGTAGAAGTTCACCATGACGATTCCTCCCGTCTCATTCTGGAGAGACAGACAGGATGTTACATGACTCGAGGGTATTGACCTCCCTTTTCTCTCATCTATCAAAGTGCATGTCTCTTGGTCATAACCGAGTTGCTTTTTATCTGTTTTTGTTATATTACAGTGCTGCACAATAACCGCCTTCTTGTTTCCTGGTTCATGGCCTTTAACCAGGAAACCTACTTTATGCATGTGTCAGTTAAACTGGACACAAGGTGCCAATTTTCAATGTCAGTGGTGGAAAGTAGCTCAGTCACATTAATATGCAGTATATCGTTGTAAATTAAACCAACTGTTCCCAACCGTTTTGGCTTGTGACCCCTTACAAAAGAAGTGTGTAGTTGGGGCCCCTTGCTCGTAGCACTCACCACTCTAATGAGAACATTATCTGGGACGTTCCTCTTGTGTGGACAGATGCTGTAGGCGGAGGAGTGGCTGAAGATGACCGGAGCTTCAGACATGTCCAGCACCTGGTTCATCACTGCTTCAGTCACATGAGCCAGGTCGATCAGCATCCCCAGACGGTTCATTTCCACTATTAGTTGCTGTTGTAAGCAAGAACAATGATTATTTCGATTAAAATATATTCATGCTACCAAAAATACAAAACTTGCGAAAATTTTGTTTATTTATTTTGTTTCTAATGTCACTAGTTCACCCGTTCATGAAATAACAGAAAGTATTGTTTAAGAGATGTGTTCAGCATCAAAAAGTCATATGAAATCTGATTTAGTTTGCTGCTTATAGGCACCCTGTCCAACTAGTTGGATGAACAAAAATACATGTACATATAGATATTATTAGATTAGTTTCTTATAGTAATATTTTATGGAAGATGTTTGGTTGTCAAAACACAGTTGTGCTAGAACAAGGCATCATTGTAATTGTGTGTGCTGATATTTTATTTTACACATACTTGAAGTAAAGTTTGGTCGTGCTTGTAATACACTCAAGCTGGAAGACACTAATGTGTAAGTTATTACACTTAAAGATTAATTTGTCCAACCCTGCTTGTTCACTTACCTTGCCAAATGGGGACAGGCCACTATGTTGAGATTGCTCTGATCCAGTGTCAACAAGCCAGTTATCCGCCCTGATGAGAAAAAAACAGTTACTTACATACTTAAATACTTTGGTGTCAGGGAGAATTAGTTTTTTCCACTTCCTTATGTATAATTCATGAGGTTTTCTTCTACAGTTACACCACATTTAGCCACCTGAAGTGATGAGGGAACCTGATACTGCTGCTTGAGAGCTCAACAGGCCTGCAGTAATCCCCCAAAACTCCCGACAGCACAATCTAAACGGACCATGACATCTGATGGAAATACACCACACATACATGACCGAGGCTAACTAAAAGCTAAAAGGGCAACAGTTCATCAATTGTTGCGACTGAATAACAGTATTAAAACTACTGTGTTTGTTTATGTTGTTGTTTAAGTGTGACATTGACATGTTTATGTGCATAGGGTAGTGGTGGAATGTAACTAAGTAAATGTATCTGAGGTACTCGTACTTGGGTACTGTCATATCATGATAGTTTGTACTTTTGACTCCACGACATCTAATTGACACTTATTGTAACTTTTATGTAAAAATGATTCAGTCATACAGGCTAATTTTCCTCTACAGTGCCTGGCAGGTTACACATTAAGACTACATACAACACATATGAAGAGCCAGAACATGATGCATTATTATAGATTAATCTAACCAAAAAGAAAAATGGGGCTGAAATGATGAATCGTTTAGTCGATCGACAGTTTTATTTTTCAGTGGCAAAACAAGTCTTCTCACAAGTGAGGATTTGCTGCTTTCATTGACTTAAGTGTGCTTTCTTTTGTTTGATGGGGTAAATCTGCTGTGTGCGGCTGGCTCTTACCAGGGTGTGTTGCAGGAATGTGTGAGTGTGAGGTAGCGGACCCCCAGCTGGTACATGGTGCGCAGTGTGCCCAGACTGCTGTCCAGGGAGTGACCCCCCTCCACCCCGATCAGACTGGCTGTCTTGTTCATGTTGAAGGCGTCCATGATGTCTGTGCAGTGCAGACATGAGAGATGAGATGAGATGGGTGATTACGAGAGGTGGCAATTGTCTCTGAAATTACTAGTACGCTGCGTCTCACCTTTGCTACTGGTGGCAAACATGAAGGTTTCAGGGTATTTTTGACACATCCTGTGAACCACATCTATCTGCTCCAGTGTTTGTCTGACAGCATCTTTGTACTGAGAGTCACAGGGAACATAGGCCGACCAGAACTGAAAGAGGAACAAAACATTATGAATGAATTTTCAGCACCGCTGTGTATCCAGGAGGGTTTACAAAGCTACGTTCCTTATTTGAACCGCATCCCTTTTTATTGCTTTATTGATGATTGATTGGATATGCTTTGTTTACAGAATATAACCTGGAGTGTGAGACACAGTATTTCTTTTACAAGAGCTTACCTGGAAAACACTGAGCCAAGGGACACACAGGGCTTAAATACACAGGGAAGGTGCAGGTGATTAGACACAGCAGGTTTCAAATAAGGGTGGGGCAGACAACCACGAGGGGAACAGAGAGGGGCAGAAAGTGAAGTGAAGCAGACTGAGGAGGTGCAGGTGGTTGAACGCAGCAGTGTCTAATTAGGGGAAGGGCAGACCCTCACAGGGGTAAGACAGACAAAGGCAGGAAATAAAGTGCAAGACACATGGAACATCTCAACAAAACAGAATACGTCACTAAATCAAAACATAAATCGTGACAAGTACATTATGTTCTCTACATACCTGCGCTCCCAGCCGTCCCTCCTTGATTTTAGGGATGTTGGTGTGTGTCGTTTCCAGAGTGTTAAGATCCACTTTGTTGAGCTCGTTGTTGAATTGCATACGGAGCTGCCATGGCAGGTCGTTATGGCTGAAAGACCAGAAAGTTAAAAGGTCACACCCTCACAGATCCTTTTCTCAAAACTCTCATCATCAACAGTGATTTAACAGCAGGGACGAAAACTTTGCCCAGATTAGCACTAGAAATTGCTTCCAGAAGTGGGCTTTTACCAAAGTACACAATTGTTTACTGCTGTTGTTGTTGCTCATATAGCAAACAGTACATCATTAGAGCCAAAATGCCAAGCGCACTTTACTGTATACAAAAGACATTTCCACTTACCCGTCAATGAGCGGGGTCTCAGACATCAGCAGCAGAGCTCTGGTCATGAACGGATCCTCAGCTGAGGTGGAGGTACAAGAACTGATCCATAGTGCTAAATATGCTGCTGAGATAACCTTGGAAAGCATTTCTCAAACGTTGACAGACTGTTAAACGCACTGCTCTTCTTTTTCTTTGTGTGCCTAAACTTTCTTCTTTGTTAGCTCATTCGCAAGTTCTTGACCTTTCTTTAACGTCTGAGTAATCCTGATGCTACTAACTGCTGTTTAAACGGGTTTATCTACGGGTTACCGGTTCCCAGTCTTTTAGTTTTTTGTTTGCATTTATGTAGATTATTTCAGATTCTCTCTCTCTTTCTGTCCGATTACACCTTTAAAGATTAACTCATCGCTCCTCCTCTGTCTCTCTCCTGTTTCTCATTACAGCGTCTGCAGTAATAAATGCAGCACAGTAGTTTAATAATTCTTACAATCTCTACACTTGTTAAACATTGCATGTTGGTTAATGTGTTCTGCACCTTTTGACTGCTTCTTCCACAGTTCAGAACATGTGCTTTGGACGAGAATATCTTACAGTTTTAAATGTATTGTTCCAGAACTGCTTAGCAGAACCAGCACAGCAGTCTGGAGCACATTAACCATCTTTAGGGTGAAGACAAGTGATGAAGAGTTTCATACAAAGTCACACATATGTAGAAGAGATGTATACTATAGATTCTCACATAAACTAAATCTCAATAAATACATTTTGCTACACAGATTGAATGATATGAGGAAGAGACCCTGTACAATACGGGTGCATGTGTTTATATGAATATTCTTTTTTTGCTTATTCTCAACAAATTCAAATTCCATGAAAACACCAAAGACAACAAATAATTGATTCAACTAGAAAGTATTGTCTGTAGCCAGAGCTTGATAGGACGTATTCCTCTGCATCATAGACCTGAATTGTTGTCCAAAAACGATTTAAAGAATACACATCAATGAGCCACACTGTTACACTCTCTGACATTTTCCTTCAATATGATGAACCTGTGCAGTTTATCTTACGTAAATCACACACACACCATCCTACAGAAATATTCACCAGAAAATATCGCCAACAAATACACCCTTTACTCCTTTTTAAGAAATGTTAACTTTTAACACTTATTTTTTCCAACATTTTGTTCATGATTGTGAAATGGCGATTTTTATTATCATAAACATTATATGATCTGTGTATTGTTCTCTTTGGCGGCACCTATAACAATAAATGGTACTTGCAGGTGTGTTTTTGGATCTCACTGCCCTGACATCCAAACAGGGTTGCTGTTGGGATATATTTTCCCTGGGAATGTCACTTAACTGAAATTAAGTAAAACAACATGAAAGGTGTTCCACAGAGAATTATCGCCCAACTCTGCAGTTTTCCTCAGCTCATGTTTCTTTCTCATTGTCCATGTTTTCAGTAAAAGCCCTAATACCACAACTGTACGCTACCTGACAAACAACAAACAGCTACTAACAGCTAAAGAGAGAGCCAGCTATGTTTTTCAGGAGTTGTTGGAGACAAAACAGAGATATTAGATGAGTGAATATTGGACTGGTGTTATAGGGGGAATTTAAATGAATGATAATGTTACTCTGTAAATGCTGGATGTGCAAATAAGCAACTGCTTGTATGTTCGGCAGAACAACGTGACAATGTTGTGGTTTTTTCTTGTTTCTGCTGCCGTCAATGAACTTCCCTGACAAAAACAATGTTTAAACATATTCATGTAATGCCAAAATTAAGCTGAATTAATACCGAAATCCAACACAGAACACCTGACTGCACATAAATTAAACATTATGGGGCACTGTACAAACATTCAGTATTTAATTTGGACTTTAAGGATATATACATGTAAACACAGACGCTCACACACACACATATATATCCGGCTCATACACACAACAGTTACCGGTTCATTGGATAATAATTGGGAGCCTTGTGTAATGATTAAAATGACAGGGATTCTCTTCATGCTGAATATGCACTAAAAGCTTAATCTACATGTAGATATGTGTATAGTAGAACAACAGATGAGATGCTCTTATGTCAGTATTGATTTACTGCTTCTATCGACTCCACCTTCTTATCTTCAAGGCTGCTCTTCAAATGAGTCAATAAAGATGACGATCTCCAGGAAATGACGCCCACTTGAGTGGGTCAAAGAGTAACATATGAATTATTCAGAATTCAGAATTCACATGTTTTATGTACAGTTTTTATTTTATTTCATACTTCCTACCTCATTTCAGTGAATATAGTGGATTATTATTGATGGATTATCATTGATGAGTTACACAAGATGCATCATAGGTATCTTGTAGCTACAGTGCTGCGGTCTAGATAGTCCGATTTTCCAGAAGAACAAACAACAAAGCAGATTCCATTTGTGTGAGACGTTTCTTTAAATTTAGAAAAAACACTGCTTTGAAATCAGTGTGTCACCTTCAGCAATTTACGCTTAGTTCTCACTAATATTTCAGAAAACAGTTATGATATATTTATTTATTTGCATTGTTTAGCTATTTTGGGCAGTACCAAAAATAAAAAAGTTTTTCTTTCAACTGGCTACACAGTATTTTAGCCAAATGATTGACAGTAAAAGTGCACTTATCTCCATAAATGTCCTCCACTAAAGTAAAACTAAATACATGGAGATATAAACATCGAACATCAACAAAGTCAAGCAGCAGAGAAGACTATTTAAGGGTTGACTTATACCTTACATGTCCATCGCTGACATGAAGACTGAGGCGATGACGTAGTCGACAGTCTTTACCCATCAAACACCGACTGTTCTCATTCTCCAGCTGCCTCCTGAAAAATAATGCCCACAGTGAGATGATGTCATTCGTCACAGCATATGTTTACAGAGTTCTAGACCAGAGTTAAATTTGGTTAAAGGTGACATTTTTTGGAAAAGCATCCACCCCCAAAAAAATGTGACCAGTGGTTGCTTAAAAAAATGATGGCAACAAAGTGACACTTAAAATTGAAGAGATTTTAAGTTCTACGAATCTGATTAAAAAATATTGAATAAATTCACTGAATTTAAACAAAAATAATTGGTAAATCCAAATCAATTTCTCAAGCAAAACTGATTTATATTTACTAAGAATCTGAGCAAAAGTAATTTAATTAAATTGACTGATTATTTGAGTGAGTGTTAATATAAGCTAACTAAATATCTGGATAAACGATTCATTTAATCAAATTAATTATATTAACTCATATTTTTGCATTTACATTGCTGTTCTTATTTATATGTACCTCACTTAATTCTTTAAATATAAGTTTAAATAAGTATCACAAGACTAAATCTATTCAATAATATTAATTGTCACTTTGTTGCCATCATTTTTCTAAGTCTAATCAACTCAATATCATGACTTCTTGGTGCCACAGTTTAATTAATTTGATCACCATGCATAAAAAGTACAGCAGGTAAACATTTATTTCAGTTCCTTTGTCTATACATATTTATCCAACATCCACAGTGCAAAATGCCAAAATACAACAATAGAGTAAAGAGAGGGGATAAAAGAACACAAAAACAGAAACGATGTTTGTGTAAAATCGGGATATAGTACATTGCATAAAGGAAATACTGGCATAGCTTATTCGTGAGGCTGTCCACATTTGGGGACACTTTAAAAAGTTTAGCTCGAGGAGGAGTTTGTGAAAGACTTCAAGCATGTACCTGAGCTCCTTGGGATATAAGATCCAACGAGCATGGATTAAGTTCTTGGAAAGTAGAGCAGTCAGAACTTTCATGCCCTTTATCATGATACCGATGTTGTCAGCACCCTCTGATGTGTCATGACGTGTCTTCATCACGTGTCTTCATCACCATCCTGAAAGAGCAAGAACATTGGGTATTTCAGACTGTACAGCTATAAGAAGGTCCTTCCCAAACAGAGCTGTGCAGGAATGAGTCCTAAAACACAAACATATGTTTTTGCGCTTACAAGTAAATTGTTTTTTAATGGGTTTGAAATTAGGGCTGTGGTTAACACAAGCTTAAGATATTTTAACATTTTGTTCTACGCTATAAAATATGTCCGTAATTATATCTCTGAATTTTGTTGCTTAAAAAAGGCACTTGCTAACAAGTGGCTAAAAGAGACTACAAAACCCCACCACGGCATCGTCGCATCATCACGTGCTACGTCAGATTGGTTGAAAGGGCCTATTAGAGGCAACAAATTACACAACAAACCTCAGTAGCTTGCCAATAATTACTGTGAAAAATGTAGTTATGATTGTATATTGTGATTTGGAATGAATTGAACATTATACATTGTACATTATATATGTAAAAAACTAAACATTCTAAACTTATCTAATAAAGTGGCCACAGAGTGTATATAAACTATTCAAAAACATGCAATTATTTCATCCTTTTTTGTGGAGAGAATCACAGGATAACATTACCTCTGCAACCTCAGCCCCAAGGTTCTGCTCTTGAAGTGGAGGTTCAGCAGCCTGGGAGTGAATTCATTAACTTTGATTCAAGGTGCATCGTTGTGATTCTGTGAAACTCATCCTGCATCTGAAAAACAAATAATCAAACCAGCTATAGAGCCTCAAATTGAATGAGTGTTCATCATTTAATATAATTTGAAGACCGCCGTTCACAAAAGCAGCTCGGTGTAATCAGTCAGCCTGAGCTGCTACCTCTGTTTAAAAGCATACTATGCACTGACGTAGGGCGGTAATTCCATCTCTCCTTCTGTGGCCTCTTGTACTGAGAACAGAGACATGAAAGTGAACGTTAACAAGACAAAACCTACAGAGAACAGAATGTATGAAAGCTGAAAATGATGCTGCTTTTAACAACAAGATACTTGAGAGTACAAATTGTACTTGAGAAAACTAAATGCAGTGAATGTAACTCGTAACTACAGCGAGTACGCTTTTCATACATCTGTGCATTGGTTATTTTCTATCTAACAATAGCTTGTTAAAGTTGGGGATGGAAGGAAGCTCGGGCTGAGACCAGGACAATTGGTCAAATTAAATTGGCTGGTATCTTAAAAGAGCACTTTATGAAGTATGCTTGGGAAATAATAACATGACCTTTTGACATTGAGCTGACCACTTTTTCAGTCCTTTCCACGTTTTTAGTAGAGTCAAAGACAATGCAGACTGACTGTGCGACTGACTTTGAATCACAAATTTTGATGTACAGCGCAGTAAAGTTGGCATGTTTCGTAGCTTAAAGAGGACAAAACAATGTTCAACTGCAGCAGCAACTTGGTTATAAACTGTTTTTTACCTAATAATAGTTAAACATGTCTTACCTTTAGGAGAACAGCAGGCCCTGTCCCTGATGATTGCAGATTGATCTCCACGTGGAGCAAATGAAATACAATTAGATTCTACTTCTATTTTTACTACAACTTAAGAGTATCAGGAGGGTACAGAACAAATTATTCCCTGGTCGTACGAGTCTGCATTACGTGCAAATATGAACAATCAGACCCACACAGCTGGAGATAGAAGTCTGATGTGGTACGGCTTACAACAACCTCTCCCCCTCAGAACCCTCCTCATCAACAGACAAACACTTCATTTAAAATGAAAAGTATGTTCATTTCATGTTTGTGTGGTGCATAGAGTAGAGCAGAACTATTATTATTACATTCAATTTAAGTCAATCTACTGTATATTCATATAAACTATACACTTATATGAGTCCTGGGTAACAGAATGAGATAGCTGATAGCGGCTCCCAGACAACCCTCTTAACCCGTGAGCCACGGTCACCCCGTTTCGCACTAAAGATAGCAATGTGCCGGCGATATGTCACGTAGCCACCACACCTCTTACTGTAGAGCACTTCATTTTCTTTCTTTTTTTTTAAATTTCATCTTACATACCTCGTTAATTACCCAAAACAAGTAAAGAGAATTCAAGTAGACTGAATTTTGGGGAAGTGTGTCTGAAATGATGCCCAGGACATCAAGAATATTTCCATTTGATGGAATGATGTCGCCACAAAACATGGAGAATAACTTATTCAGTGTGAACATCATATTATAGCCTAACATCATTGAAGAACTGTAACAAGTTGATACAAAATAAACACGAGACACTGTCAATGTTTTTATCTTTTCAAAGTACTTTAAAGGTGCAAAGTGTACTCCAAACAAACGGGTTAGAAATTACCTCTAACTTCTGGGTCCATACAGTCTAAATTATAGTTATCAGTTATTGAAAAATAAATAAATAAATACATTTAAAAAATAACTAAAATGCATAGACACTAATTAGGGGCTGTACGGTCTGTGTACGGTTAGATCGTTTATTTATTGGATTAAATCAAAAGAGGCAGAAACAAAAATGCCACAGACCCTGGTCTCGTCTTCCGGGCCAGAAGAACACACCGACGGGAGGAGAAGGGCCAGCACTCGAGAAACAAGTGGAAAACAAGACAGTACAGGCAACGGATAGTCGGTTAGCATGCTCATTTTAGTAGATATCTTTGCAACACACTAATAAGAGGTCTTTGATATAAATTATGGCCATATCTCACACATTTGAGGAGCAACATGACAGTAAAACCAGGGTTTATGCTGTTAAAAATATGTGATTAACTATTGACAACTAAACTGGCATTAAAAAGTATTGTTAAGTTCCAGAAACTACTGTAATTCTGGAAACATAATGTACAAACCCTAGCCTGAACAAAGTAACAGCAGGAAACTGGATCTAGCTGTCAGAGCAGCGATGATAGATGGCTGGATCTATTTGTTAATTTTGTCAAATTTAGCAAGAGACACCTGACACCCACTTCTTGAGGAGGCCGTTTGAATTTCCCCTTTTTAGCTCATGTGAAGCCTGTGTGGTCGTCGCTCGCTCTCTCTCACAGAGCGGCTAGAGTAGAGAGACCGGCACAGAGCTACAGAGAGCTAAACACAAAAGGAGAACTCGTCTAGAGGCAGCTGAAAAAGAGAGACAGAGACCAGAAAACGGTTGGATATGGCCAGGTTGGATGTCGTAGAGACCTTTCATGGTTTATTTTTTCCTGGACACCTGCACACCCAGGATTCCTTACAACTTGCTCTCAAATTTCCCTTTCAGGACACAGACATCATCATTGTCTCTTATCCAAAGTCAGGTAAGAAGAGACGACCAACTGATCAGGATACATGGCGCTTGCGGTGTCTGCAAACATATTGCAACTAACAACGTGAGCACGTTGCAATATTATGACTGGAATTTACATGACGCATTACATTACTACACTCCTCTTATTTCTTTAAACAGGCACCACATGGATGCAGGAAATTGTGACTCTCATATCCAGCAGAGGGGACCCAGACGTGTCCCAAACTGTCCCAAACTGGGCTAGGGCTCCCTGGCTGGAGCATCATTATTTCACCGCGGTACTGGAGGCTTCACCCACCAAACCTCGAGTCATCACCACACACCTGCCACATCACCTGCTGGGCCCCACCCTCCAGGGCTCCAAAGCAAAGGTCAAATTTACAAGTTTATTTGCCTGTTTGGACCACAGAGTATCGAGATAAACCAATAAATTGGCCATGGCCAATAAGTATTTATTGCAGACATGTCGGTATCAGTGTATATGCTGGCCGATAAGTATGACAAAATTGTAGCACAGAAATGCCAAAGGTTTTGAGGTAATGTAGTAACAGTGTCACTAGTTCTGAGACAGCTCGTATTGGTTTTTAAATCTAAAAATGTTGTTTATGTAAAACAAAAAAAAATATATCGTTATTAGATTTTTAGAAATTGGTGAAGCTATACTAAGGGCGGTACAAACATTCTGACACTGTTGCTATGTGTCATTTCACAGGTCATCTATGTGAGCAGAAACCCCAAAGATGTGGTGGTTTCCTTTTATCACTTCCACAAAATGGCCAACTTCCTACCTGAGGCAGGCTCATTTTCTGAGTTTTTAAATCGATTCCTGGACGGCACACGTGAGTTGACATCAGGACAAAAAGACATTTAATTAATATAATATTTAAATTTTTTATGAAGATATGCCGACTGCAGCTCTGCAGCCAAAAGTGCAATTAGTTGTTATTTTCTTTGTTTCAGTGCACTATGGCTCCTGGTTTGACCACATTAAAGGCTGGACCAGTCAGACAGCAACTATGAACAATCTGCTTCACATCACCTATGAAGAGATGTCGATGGTAAAGGAGAATTGATTCATCACTCTCATCATAGACATTTGTCCATAAACAATTTCTTATAAGATACTTATTTATCTTGTTCCCCAATCACAAGAACTGGGCCAGGTCTGGAAGTGGAAGTTCATGATGTGAAAATGTTACTCTGTCACTTCTTCAAAGCTTGCCTTCAAAACACGACTTTAACCTTCGAATCTTACTTCAGAGGCTATAATTATTTATAAAGCATTTCAAGGAAGCTGTTGCAAACTGCAATCTTTATGTTACTTTATGATTACTTTTTATATGTAATATAAAAAAAGATTTCACTATTATGAGTCTCTTCTTCCTGCTGTCAGGACATAAAAGGTGCCATAAAGAGGGTGAGCTCTCATCTACAAAGTCCCTTACTGGAGGACGAGGTCAACAACTGTGTGAAACACTGCAGCTTCAGCAGCATGAAAGACAACAAGATGGTCAACTACACTCTGGTCACTGAGGAGATAATGGACCACAACAAGGGCTCCTTCATGAGAAAAGGTGGGGCTTTTTTTTCTATTACATGCTGATAAATCAAACTTGGTTGATTGATTGTGTCCTATGTCTGACAATATGGGATCCAAATAAAAAAATAATAAAACAGTGGTGACCAAAATTGGAACCTGTTATCAAACCAAAAATGACTTTTACTACAATGGTTCCCACCTAGAGGGTCAGACCATCCAAAGGAGTCCCAAGATCAATCTGAAGGGTCACAAGATAATTAAAGAGATAAATATTCTCATTACATCCGGACTGACAAAATAAAAAAGAGAGCAAAATGAAGTATCTGTGGCTGTTGCAGGCCTGTAATAAGCCCGTCCAATCATTCTCTGCCTGGGAACTCATTGCTCGTCACTGGAGTCGTCCACAAGCTACTTGACAGTTGTAAGTACTAACAATATGCAGTTTACATCTGTAATGTCTATAAACACATGAGTCTATTTAAAAGCATGATCAGTCGAGGAGGAAAACATATTTGTGCTTGAATCATATATGCACATTTTCTTGTGGTCTAGAAGGTTTTAAAATTACGTATTTGGCAATTAATTAAAGCTTATCCCTCCCTATTGCCTCCCTACAATTCAGGTAAGATTGGAGACTGGAAAAACATGTTCACAGAGGAGCTGAATCAATATTTCAAAAGCGTCGTTGAGTCCAAGATGAAGGACTGCACTCTAGAGTTTGTGTGGGACGAGCAACATAAAGAAGAGAATCCCAACTGAAAGAATCCCACTGAAGAACACCAAACTGTGAAAAAAGCTAAATAAAGTTAGATATCATGTTGGATTGTGTGAGATGGATCACATGTGGATGGTGTTCTCTAAGCTGTGGTTTAAATGAATAAAAGTCCACTTTGGGACATGTAATGCTCAGTAACCTTCAATGCCTTTATATATATTGCAGATTTGTTTTTTTTCAATTCACCTGTGTTTGATGTAACACTTGATGATGTATTCAATATTTTGATTAATATTATGCATGAATAAATCTCAGATCAACCGAATCCTCTTTTAAGCTGGACCACAACCGTGGTCCAAATGATTTGTTTTTGGGTCACTTGGTTGCTAATGCGCAGTACGAGCAAAGAAACTGTAAGCCGCACAACATTGAACAGAGGGGTAAGGACAGGCCAAAGATTTTAATATAAAGCTCCTCATCCAGAGGGCTGAGCTGTCCTTGTGTGTCTTGTCAATTCACGCACCGAAAGAAATTTGCTGTTCACCTTCCAGTTTCCATGCACTGGAGAGCTTTGATCGAATGTGTGTGTGTGTGTGTGTGAGTATAAGAGCTAACATATGGTACTCATACATTGTTGAACTCAAATTGTAGATATCTGTTATTTAGAGGTCAAAAGAGTTGTTCTCCCTTCTTACTAAAATCACAGCCAATACAAACAATAGAATACTATCATACTCCGTAAATGTCATTCCAACAACCTAACAGCACCTATCCTCTGTATATCATCTGCTGGAATGTCCGTTTCTTAAGAAATATAGCGTCCTTGCACCACTTTTTGGCATGAACAGTACAAAGCATTGTGCTTTGTCGGTTGCAGAAATCTGCTTTGTTAATACAGGACTGGAGGAATGACCTCTGTCTGGTTGCAAAGGTCAGTTATATTTATCAGTGTGAAAGAGGAAATGAAACAGGAAATTATCCCAATTGTAGTTTGTCTAGACTCTAGACCATATATTTAAGTTGGCCTTTGATAACAGGTTAACTAAACCATATAAAAACAACAACATCCTGTCTGGAACCGTTTTTTTGTCCACATTGTCTGTTGTGTGGATTGTCCAGCCTAAGAGTTCTCTTCCTTCATCTTCTGACATTGATCTTTGTTAAACGTGCACTGAGTAATCCAGTTGACAAGGGCTCCGATGTGCTGTTGTATTAGCATCAGCTGCTAATAAAGTCCATGCATGGTCACACATACACACACACATGATTGTGGCATTTGTGCTTTTTGCTGTGCACACACACTTGCACATTTCAGCCATGCGAGAAGCTACTTCACACTTCTCTATATTTCCACTCTGCCGAGGGGAAGGAAGTTGGAGGGTGAAGCTGATGTCACTCGGATCACGACGGTTCAAAAACAGACTGTTCAAATCTATTTTTAAAAAAGTATCATTGTTGCTAGCCTATATATATATATACATACATATATATATATATATATACATACATATATATATATATATATA